CATATAAACTGTATTATTCGGAAATTTTGGATCGCCAATATTATCTAAACGTAAATTTTCACCATCCTCTATTACTAATCGAATTAATCGACCAATAGAACCATTTGAAATATGAAGTTCAGTAGCAATGTTGTGTGTTATTAGAACAGGCATATTCGGTACGATTGGCAGATATCCTGGCAAACCTTCGGTTTTATTGTCTGGTATTGAGAGTAAAAAACGTCGAAGATCAATATTATCAATTTCAACATTTCGAACTCGATCATTTGCAACCACAATCATTGGTAAATAATTATTTTTTTTACTTTGATCGAATACACAATAGTTATTAATGTTTGTTCTTACTTCGTTTCTAAATACTAAGATTGTGGCTGAGTTCCATGGTGCTTCTCGTAATGATTTCACTTCATTCTCGGGTGAAACAACACGTTTACATAACATTTTGTAGTCATCCTCAAAGTAAAGATGAAAAACATTATGTAACTGATTTTTTTTGAACTCACATCATTACATTCACCTCTTCTCAGTCTTGATTGCATATCCATGAATAATGGGTCTTTATTACGCATTTGTTCGGTCAGAAAAAAGACTGTGTTCACTTGAAGCCATAGTGCTCGCCCAACTTTGCACTGTATAACACGTTCAGTTACATTTCGTTGTTTTGCAGGTTGTTTAGTGAGATTGAGAGTATACTCTAATGTATCTTGAGTTGATAATAAATTTGAATAAAGAGGTCGATCAAGAACCGGTCCATATTGTACAAAATCACCAAGAAATATCATGTTGATGCCGCCAAATGGTATCGATGGTTCGGTATGTTTTGCAATTGTTGTTATTTTATGAAATCGTGCTAACATATAACAACCAACCATTGAAATTTCGTCGATTAAGCAGTAATCAATATTTCGCCATTCATTTTCGATGGTAACAATTTCTGATTGTGTTAAGATTGTATTAGTATTTGATTTTCTACGTCCTTCGCGTAACATTGATTGCATAGTTAAACCGTTGATTCCCACAGCAGCTGCTGAAGACGGTGCCAGACTACGTAATGTATGCAACCGATTGTGAAAACACATAAACGCAGATATTGCTTCTGTTACGCGTGACTTCCCGCATCCACCGGCTCCACCTAATGTTATAGAAACATAAACAGGGTGGACCCAAAGTAACTTTACTGAAAAAAAAATTGAATATTTCCATTATGGCTTGAGCGAACAAGCTGATATTTTTTCTCAATAATAGAGGTATATTCAAGGTTTATAACCATAAAGACA